TACTTTTACAAAAGTCAATCTTGAATTAACTTCAAATGATCATTGTGATGGAGTTAGTCTAATGCAATTGAGGTTAGAATATTCCTATTGGTGGACACTTGCAAATATTGATTATGATGTATCAATTTATCCCTCGTTCCTCTACCCGAGTCGATATACCAAAAGAAGTCTTGTACCGATAGTGATGGCAATTAATCGAATATCTTCATTTTTGTTAGCCTGCATTTTAGATTAGCATGCTAAAATTAACCTGCAATTAACTTACATATTTCAGCGTTTTTGCAGGCTAACAAAGCAGGTTAATTTGCATACTAAAAAAGCAGGGCAATTTTGCAGGCTAATTGAGCCAGGTTAATATGATTTTGCAGGCTAAAATAAGCCTGCTTTTAAAATGTACAGGCTAAATTAAGCCTGCCTAATTTGCATATTTCGGCGTTTTTGCAGGTCAGTGCTTGCTAAGGAATTAGCCTGCTTTTTAGCAGCTATGCAGGCTTGATGCAGGCTATAAGCAGGCCTGCCTTTTCGGTAAGGGTGGCTATGATCTAAACTGCATTGTTTTTCATTGTTAGAAAAAATAAATAATAAAAACCAGAAAAGGCTATAGGGCCAACATGTACATGGCCTGACATGTACATGTAGTAATTAACAACTTATTTATTACATTTAAAGCTATAAACTCCAGTACTGGTAAAAAAAAAAAATAATTCTCACAGAATCAAATGAAACTTACACTGAATGTTCAAGATTACAAATAAATGACATGTGCCAAACAATTTTGGAAGAAAATGTATACTGGCTGAGTAATGAGCATAGAAAGACAAGGAAGCCAAGGGTACATGTAGTACCATCCCCGACACCATGTGTGTTGTCCCAGATACTGTAGCTTTCTATGTGAGTGTTTGTTACTTTACCAAGACTCGGTCAAATTTATTATGATTTTGATGACTCCAGAACCTTGCAGTGCACACCAATACTTACATGCTACATGATCAACTGTTTCTGATCCTTTCACACCTTTTCTTTCACAATGCAATCGCATTACCAGTACTAAAGTTTATCTTTAAGTAAATATCCTAATTGGACAGAATTTGAGGGTCACACTAACAGTATACACTATACAGTACATGTACATGTATGTATTTCCTCATTTCTTTGAAAGCAAATAATGTTCTTGACATCCCAAATACAATCCTCACTCAGCCGATCATGAACTTAAATGTTGTGTCTCCTCCTCCTCCTCCTCCTCCTCCTCCTCCTCCTCCTCCATCTTCTTCTCCTTCTTCTGCTACATACATGTACACTGTACAGCTGTATGATATGTTGTCTCCAAATAATATTTCATTAAAATTAATTTTAAGTCAATACTTCCTTGATTTGAAACCCAGGTACTGGTAATGAGCCTTTAAAATTGCACAAGAAACTAGCATAAAAGCAAACATTTGCAGGCCCCTTCTATTTACCCCAAAAATAATACTTCTCAAATTTTTGGAAGATTTTGAATTCCTTTAAACTATAGCTATCAACAGCTATCAATAAAATGTAATGTACATGTACACACATTGCAAAATTTAAAATAAATTATTGTACATAACATTTACATTTTCCATTCATTTTTTCATTATTACAGTACATCTTGTACAAACATGAATTTATACAAGTGGGTCTACACGAGCTGGATGCATGTCTATGCTACATACGGTAGTACCTTGTCCATTATGCCTACTAAATGATGCATAGGAGGTAATCACATTGTTTGTACTGAGTACATCCCCGGTATAATCCCTACTTGGTCAAAGTTCACGTCTTTGTGAAATGCAAACAAATATCTTCACATGCAGGTAAAGGTACACATTCGCATTCCACATGAGTCCGTGACTGAGATGTCATATTGTTGAATCTGAAGTAAACGTACATTCGATTCTGTTTTTAAAAAATTGAATGCATTATATATAGCTTTATCCCAGCCAAGAAAAGAACTCATTAACTATTAAGAAATACAAAATTAATGTAAAAATCAATTTTAACATCAGCTCAAACAAAGATTTCCTTCTACACGTGTACATTATGTATCATATATGGTTTGAGTCTTTCTGTTACGTTTTAGAAAATCACAATGAAACATACTAGATGAACCCACTGACTATAGTCTCTTTGAAAGAGGCTTAATACAGGGCGCACCCGGTTCCAGTGTGCGATGGGTTAACAAGATATGTATAATTATACAGATTAACACTAGCTGGACTAGGATCACGGTGGGGTCACTCCCCCGCAGAGGGTGACATGTACAACTGTATGACCGTTACCACAAATGCAAATAACCCCCTTTTGCGGTCAATTTCAAGGACATTTTGTGAAATTTAACCCCCTTTTTTACGTCAAAACAAGGACAAAATTGTACTTTGAATACCCCTATTTATAAGATTGTAAGGACACTTTCGCAAATTTACCCCTTTTTTTACCATATTTCAAGGACAAGACTTGGCTCCGAGAATTTTTCTTCCCGGTTTTCTCTTTTCCTGACCCCTATTTATCAATTTCGAGGACACCTGTGCACCCCTATTTTCTTTATTTCGAGGAATATATTGTCTGTGGACATTGCTTAAAATTGACCCCTTTTTCCGCGATTTTGGTAACGGTCATGCGGTCCGGAAGTCACATTGAGTGAACCCAGCGGGACTAGGATGGGAGGAAAGTACATTGTAAAAGGAAGGAGAAAATGGCAGCTCAAAGTTGGGACAGATTGAATGAAAGTAATAGCCAATCTAGGAGAACATTGCCCAATTTGCCCATCTATACATGTATCGTTGTAGTTTAGTGTTGCCTTAAAGGCCTACTACATGTATGTCCCATTTGCAGGCCAAAAAAATGAAAAGGTTTAATTCCAACGGCATTTGAAAGATAATACTAATTTAAAACTTCCCTAAAAAAAAGGTTGCTTGAAAATGTCTGTAAGTGGGAAAATAATGAATATTAGTTGTCAAATCAACTTAAGGGCTAGTATAGAGCCTGTAAGTAATAGTCTGATTTTCAGACCATTGTACCGCATGGTCGTACGTTTTTATGCGGTGCAAAGTTTCAATCAGTTTAATTTTGGCCATTACAAGGAGTGGGCTATTGATGTAGACAAAATGCTCAAGTACCCTTCACAGCTCATTTCATGTATGTTATTACCAAAGATGAAAAAAGCCAGTCAGTCAGTCAATAGTGTCTGACAGTGAAGTCTAGAAAGTATACAGGTTTCCTTACATAATGCCGAAAAACCCACAAGGGGAAGGACCTTCATTTAACATCGAGGTGCAGTTGAAAGCGCCAATTTGTGCTTGTGAACTTGTCACAAATAATAGTAACAATCTCGTGTTTAGAAGAATGTGTAAGACCATTAATGTAAATTAAAAACAATAGAGTACCTAGGATAGAACCTTGTGGTACACCATGTGTAATAGAAAAAAAATTTGAGGAATTATTATTATAAACTACATTGCAGTCCATTTACATGCAGGAAATATTCTGATTTTCATACCCTTGTAGCAAAGGGTTGTACGTTTTGTGCTGCGCAAAGATTCAATCAGTGTAATTTTGGCCATTACAAGAAGTGGGTTATTGATGTAGACAAATGCTCATGGACGCTTTTCAGCTCATGTTCTGTAAGTTATTACCGAAGAAAAAAAGAAGTCAGTCAGTCAGTCAATAGTGTCTGACAGTGAAGTCTAGAAAGTATACAGGTTTCCTTACATAATTTGAATACCGGTATTAGAACACAGGGTCCTCAACGACTGGAACTCCCTCCCTGAGTTGGTAGTACATGTATCTGCAACCTCGGTAAACAGCTTTAAAGCCAGACTTGACAATCACTGGAAGAAGGAGCAATATAATTCACCATTCTCCCAGTAGACACTCCAATTATGACATTCCTGATATGACCTAGCCTATCCGATATGCGTCGGGCTGTACAAGTATACTAATCGGGTTTATACTGTATGGAGAAGTGACATCGGCGCTGGCGTCAGCCCGAGCGCCTATTTTTTCTGATTAAATAAATATAAACACCACTATTCCTCAAGCTGAAACTGCAAGCAAATAATCAGGTAAGAGATTTTGTTTCAATCACAATTTTTTTTGGTTAATGCTTACAAGTACACTTTAAAGTCAAGCTCACAATCACATGCAAATAATTTTTTGATGAAGAATATTTTCTTTGCACATTTTACGGACCTGCTTTGTTACACTTTAATAATATTTTTTGCATAAATTATTATTAAAGTTGCAATGTAGATCTAGATTCTACAATTATGACATTAAATTAGGTCTAGACCTATTAGGAGGCGAGTTGGCTCAGTCGGTAAAGCGTCTGCCTGTCGAACCAAAGATCCTGGGTTCGACTCCCACCCAGGCGGATGACTGAAGTCTGCGTTGTGTGTTAACGTGCCCCTTCCCTTGTTCATAGATGCAGGTTATGTCAAGTGGAAAACACTCCGTCCCTCGGATGGGACGTTAAATGGAGGCCCCGTGTACAGGAGAGTCACCACCCTTGCACGTTAAGAACCCATTGCACTATTCGTATAAGAGTAGGGGAAACCCCGGTGTAATGGTCCACCTGCACACCCCGATCAGGCAGAGTATACAGCATCTGCAAGAATCTTCAGTATTGAACTTGAAGAGGCAGATTATCTTGAAGAAGAAGTCTAAGTTAATTGTGGATTAGAGGTCTAGATAGTATAGACTAGGTTAGACCGAAAGCTTCAGTCTCTATAATCGTCGGTTGTTCCACTGAGTCTCAGTGGAACAACCGACGATTATAGAGACTGAAGCTTTCGGTCTAAGACTAGGTCTACATGAAATAAATGATTTTAAAAATCTACACTGAATCACCAACTGACCAACAATTACGAAAAACTAAATTGAGAACAACAGCATGACTAGTGACTCCACGATCCACCACACTAATTCAACCACACTTCACGGTTCATATTTTGTATACATGTAGGCCTATATGGACGTACCTGTATGCTGAGATATCATAGGCCGCTGGGCCTGGGCCTCCGCCACCCGATGGGCGGTAGAGGTGGGCGTGCTCGGGGAGGTTGAATGCTCAAACTTCACCCAACTCCCGCTAATAACACCTGCACCCGCCTCAACAACCAGGCCAACGCCATAATCTTCTCTTGATTTACTCGATGAATGTAGGGCTGGTGCTTTCCCACGTACATCTCCATCTCCATCATTGTCGAATGACACCCACCCAGACATTTTTAGCTCAGCATTTCGTCTGCTTTTTCGCCAGGTTAATCATTGTAATGGCGGTGTTTATATCAGCGTGTCGTCGAGTACGTACGAGTGCGTGCAGTGGCAGTGAATAGTCAAGCCGCGCGCGCCGAGTCGAGTAGTAGTCTTCAAAGGAAGTTTCGCAAAAGATAGATTACACTGGATCTATGCATGGAGCCTATGGTAGTCGTACGTGCGTTGGAGAGAGGAAGGTAAATTATTGATTGTTGTTGTTTTAGTTTTAACGGCGTGTACAAGAATGTATTTACGCCAAAGTGTATATACACAGAGGCGGCGCTAATCGAGCTTTTCCCCTAGCTGCCGTGTAAATAAAAAATACGCCTCCCGGGAGGCGTATTTTTTTCCGTACCGCTAATGCGTCGCAGAGGTTATTTCGACGACTTGAATAGAGGCAACATCCGACAGCGTAAATATTCATAATTGAATGACACACGCCCTTATAACTAAAACAACAACAACAACACTATCTCTAGTACCCAAAATGTGCCCCTTTTAACATGGGAAGAGTGCCCCTTTTACTTCTACAAGTGCCCTTTTTAATCTCTAGTAATTAGTGCCCCTTTTCCGAGGTACGAGAAGCGCCCCCTTCACCTCTGATAATTGCCCTATTCAAATCTGAGGATTACCCCTTTTCCTTTGACAAGTGCCCCTTTTCCTTTGTAAGAAGTGCCCCTTCCCCTTTTACTAACTATCCATTTTTAACTCGGATAAGCGCACCTTATTCACATGTGCCCCCTTTTCTTTCTAATAAGTGCCCGCTTTTCCTTATGACAAGTGCCCCCATTAAAAAAGAGCCCCTTACCCTTCTCATAAATGCCCCTTTTTACCTATGAAAATAGTTACTTTTCATTCTCATAAGTGCCCCTTTTCATCTCTTCTAAATGACCTTATTCAATTCTGAGAGTTACTCCATTTACTTTGACAAGTGCCCTTCTCCTCCTGAGAAGTGCTCTTTTCCTTTCTTTAAGTGCCCCTTCCCCTTCTCATAATTACCCATTTTTATCTCTGATAAGTGCCCCGTTTATTTTAACATGTTTTAACATTTATTTTTCATAAATGCACCCTTTCACCTCCGATGAATGCCCCTATCAAAATCTGATCGGTTCCCCTTTTCTTTCAACAAAGCACATTTCCATTTATTATAAGTGCCCGTTTTTCTTTCTCATAAGTGCCGCTTTTCTATATGGCCAGTGCCCCTTTTCAGATGCGATAATTACCCCCTTTTCACTTCTGATAATTACACTTTTATCAACGATACGTGCCCCTTTTCCTTTCTTATAAGGAGCCTATCCCTTTTTAAAAAACGCCCCCTTTCACTTCTTATAAAGCACCCCTAAAGGTAATACAAAGTTTTGGTACGGGGTCATGAATTTGGTTCAAGGAGGGGGGCCCAAATTTTAAATCAATATGAAATTTAGTGTGCTGAAATTTGAAAATCGTGCCGGCCAATATTTCGCTCAGTGGGGGAGGGGGGGGGGCGGTGTGGGGTATTGAGCACAATTTTTTTGGTCCTCGAAAATTTGAAAAATCGCACCCCCCCCCCCCCCCCCTCTTGAGCGCCAGTGGGGGGGGGGGGCATCTCCCAAAAAAAAGAGAGTAAAATTAACGTGATGAATTTCAATAAAACAAACTATTTATAAAGCAATGTTTCTTGACTGAAATCAACCGATTAGCTATACCCATTGGGAAATTATATATCACAACTACATATTTTGATATTTTTATGGTCGCAGCTACCATTGTATGGCCGTAGGCGCTATTTGAAATTTATCAAAATCTACCAGGAGCAACGGTAAATTGTTATATTCAATTGTTCTCGAAAACAGAAGTGTTTTAGGGGCTAAATTTTCTAGTGCTTATAATACATCCACAGGGGCATCATAATATATCAAAATTTCCTAAAACTTTGTATTACCTTTAATATAATAAATCTATTTTAGTACAATAAACATTACCATCAATATAATACCCGTTTCCACTCTAAACTCCATTTACCATTAGCACTCAAACAGTCAACTATTATTGCATTTAAATCTGCTGGTCCTCGAATATGGAATTCCCTCCCTTCTGATGTAATCTCCAGCACTAATGTTACTTCATTCAAAACCAAACTCAAACGTTCAATAATAAGTACCTATACGTCAAATAAACATGTCATTTCATCTCCCCTCCCTGCGTTTTCTTATTTCTTTTCCTATTTATCTTTACCTATATGTTTAGGTAATACAAAGTTTTGGGAAATTTTGAAAATTGGATGGATAGCGATTCTTTACAATTTTGATATATTTGGATGCCCATGTGGATGTATTATAAGCGGTAGAAAATTTAGCCCCTAAAACACTTCTGCTTTCGAGTAAAAATGAATTAAAAAATTTACCAGTGCTACCGGTAAATTTTGATGAATTTCAAATAGCGCCTACAGCCATACAATGATAGCTGCGACCATAAAAATATTTAAAAATATGTAGTTGTGATATATAATTTCCCAATGGGAATAGCTAATCGGTTGATTTCAGTCAAGAAACATTGTTTTATAAATGGTTTGTTTTATTGAAATTCATCTCGCAGCCCGAGTGCTGAATTTGGTGACTTTTTACAAATTGATAAAAACATTACAAAACAATAAATACATGTGAAATAAAACATTACATGATATAAATTCAAAAATTCGTTTAAGTTCATAGTAAAAAATATATAATATAACTATTTATATATATATATAAATATGTACATGCCATCAGTGGCGGATCTAAGGGGATCCCCCCCCCCCCCCCCCCCTCTGGCAACAAAAAGGGGGGAAAAGAAGAAAAAAGAAAGGAAAAAGAAAGAAGAAAAAAAAGAAGGGAAAAAAAAGGGAAAGATAGGTATCAAAATATGCTCATCTGACCGTAATTAAATGCCTAAAACCACTAAGTTTCCGGGGCTCAACCCCTCGACATCTCCTAAGGCGGGCCCCTGCATGATTGTCTGACTGTTATAATACCCCTGAGCTTCTGGGGGCTCCGCCCCTGGACCCCACGCAAATTAGTTACCTGCTAGTGTCACAAATAAGGTAGAATTATGCTCATCTGACGTAATTAAATGCATAAAGCCCTGAGCTTGCGGGGCTCTGCCCCCCCCCCCAAACCCAACCAATGGCCCTAAGGCGGGCCCCGGATACTTATCTGGCCGTTATCTATTGCCTGAGCCTCCTGGACCCCACGTCAATTCGCGACCTTCCAGTGTCGCAAATGAGGTATAAAAATATGCTCATCTGACCGTAATGTATTGCCCCTACCCCGTAAGCTTCCGGGGGCTCCGCCCCTTGGACCCCACGCCAATTCGTGACCTGCCATTGTCACAAATAAGGTATAAAATCATGCTCATCTGACGATAAATTGATATATAAAACCCTTGAGCTACTGGGGGCTCCGCCCTCTGGACCCAACACTAATTTGTGTCCTGCCAGTGTCACAAATAAGGTATGAAAATATGCTCATCTGACCGTTATTTATTGTCCTAAACCCCTGAGCTTTTGAGGGCTCCGCCCCCTGGACCCCACGCCAATTCGTGACCCGCCAGTGTCACAAATAAGGTATCAAAATATGTTCATCTGACCGTAATTAAATGCCTAAAACCACTAAGTTTCCGGGGCTCCACCCATCGACCCCACCAGGGGCCCTAAGGCGGGCCCTTGCATGCTTGTCTGACCGTCATAAAATTCCTAAAACTCCTGAGCTTCTGGGGGCTCCGCCCCTGGACCCCACGCAAATTAGTTACCTGCTAGTGTAACAAATCATGTATAATTATGCTCATTTAACGTAATTAAATGCCTAAAGCCCTGAGCTTGCGGGACTCTCTCCCCCTCCCATAAACCCAACCAATGGCCCTAAGGCGGGCCCCCGGATGATTTTCTGACCGTTATCTATTGCCAGCCCCTCGGGGGCTCCGCCTCCTGGACCCCACGTCAGTTCGCGACATGCCAGTGTCGCAAATGAGGTATAAAAATATGCTCGTCTGACCGTTATTTATTGCCCCAACCCCCTATGCTTCCGGGGGCTCCGCCCCTTGAATCCCACGCCAACTCGTGACCTGCCAGTGTCACAAATAAGGTATAAAATTATGTTCATCTGACGAAAAATTGATATATAAAATCCTTGAGCTTCTGGGGGCTCCGCCCTCTGAACCCAACACTAATTTGTGTCCTGCCAGTGTCACATATAAGGTATGAAAATATGCTCATCTGACCGTTATTTATTGCCCAAAACCCCTGAGCTTCCGGGGGCTTCGCCCCCTGGACCCCACGCCAATTCGTGACCTACCAGTGGCACAAATAAGGTATAAAATATGATCATCTGACGATAATTTAATGTATAAAACCCCTGTGCTTCTGGGGGTTCCGCACCCTGGACCCAACACCAATTTGTGTCCTGCCAGTGTCACGAATAAGATATGAAAATATGCTCATCTGACCGTTATTTATTGCCCAAAACCCTTGAGCATCCGAAGGCTCCGCTCCTGGACCCCACGCCAATTCGTGACCTGCCAGTGTCACAAATAAGGTATCAAAACATGTGCATCTGACCGTAATTAAATGCCTAAAACCCCTTGACTACCGGTGGCTCTGCCCCCTGGACAGAGGCGGCGGACCCGGGGGGGGGGGGCAGGGGGGGGGCACAGTCCCCCTCCCCACTTTTTCAAGTACCCAAAAAGTGCCCCTTTAACTTTATAAGAAGCGCCCATTTTTACATCAAAAGTGCCCCTATTACTTTGATATGTGCCCCTATTAATTTTTTAAAGTGCCCCCTCCCCTTTCCACCTCTGATATGTGCCCCTTTTTTTTTTTACACGTACCTCTTTTCCCTGACAAGTTCCCAGTTTCCTTTACAATAAGTGTCTATTTTCCATTCTCATAAGTGCCCTTTTTAATCTATAGTAAGTGCCCCTTTTTGGGTACGAGAAGCGCCCCTTTTCACTTTTGTTAAGCGCCTCCTTCACCTCTGATAATTGCCCTATTCAAATCTTAGAGGTGCTCCTTTTACTTTGACAATTGCCCCTTTTCCTTTG